TGTGTGTGTGTGTGTGTGTGTGTGTGTGTTTATCTCATCGGGGTTTGTTATGAGTCCAAAGAGAGGACACCTAATGTGTATTGAGAACTAGCCTAAGTACTTCTTATGTATTGATAACTGGGGACCAGGATCCCCAGATCATGGGTTTTTATTTTGACTTCCTTACATTAACAGGCATTTGGCACGCTAGTGGCAAAGGCCAGCAGCTCCAGACCATCAGCAGGGTCTGTGGATGCCAGCGTGCTCCAGGAAAGTCAGTGCAATCCAAAGATGCCAGGATTGTCCAGAGATGCCAACACAGCCCAGCGGTGCCAGCACAGAGCTGAAAATTTGCTGCTATTTATACTAAGATGGACCCCCAAAATGCAGAAGACAGAGTCAACTCCAGCAGATAGCGTAAAGGAATATGAAGATACTTCTTGCTTGATTTACAGACCGGCCACCTGCTTTGTCCCTTACCAACCAGCCAAACGGTTTTGGACAAACCATTGACCACACCTGGGACACCTTTTTATCTGAAAAGGAGGGTGCTGGGATGAACTATCTCTCAGATCCCTTCCAGCTCCAAAATGCTTCCATCTGACAATGTCCACCCCTCACTGTGGGCCCCCACCCTGAGTTTAGGCAGGTAAGGGTTAGATGGGTCATGGTGGGGGACGTGTCCTGAGGATGCAGTGCCCTGCTTCCTGCTCCGGAGGCCTGTGACACAATGATGCACATAGGCCCTCAATGAGTGGGAGAGGACAGAATGGCCCTTGATTTTATACAAAAGACCAGGAAGTTGGGGCATAGAAGATGCAAAACACTGCTGTTCAAGCATCACCGCTACTTGTTTTTGGAGGACCTCCCCTATTTCCTCACTATGTTCACCTAATTCAGTATTTACCCTTTGCCTACCTCCTGTTGGGAAAGTGTGGGGGAATGGGGAAAATGATCCAAGAAAGTGCTGGGGTACAGGGCAGAGGGAATGCTACTGGCTTGACATTTGGTGGGTTGTAAATAAAGGTGAATGCCATCAGTGGCCCCCAGGTGGGGGAGGATGCCCACGAGACTGCTCCTGTGTCCCCAGAGGGAACCAAGCCTAGAAGGAGGTGGTGTCTCCTGAGCTCTGGAGGGGATCCCAGGCCTGAGTGTGGGTCCCCCACCTCCCCCACTTACCTCCACTCTCCTCTTGCCATACCACCTGGAGATCTGGTCAGGTCTGTGGCCCAGGAAGGGGACATACTCTTTTCTGTAAATGGACTGAGGTGTTTCCTCCATGGCTTTGGTGAACTGAAAAAGACCAAATACTCAGGATAACTTCTGTGATGCACCTTCTCATGCTTCTGTAGCGTCCCCTCCCCTCCTGGGCTATGGGAGGCTGGGCAGAGGAAGGATAGACATGACCCCAGGGCAACAGCCTACACAAGCCGGGCTTCATTTTGCCCCCTCCCTCCCAGAGCTTGGAAAGGAACATGCTCAGGCCATTGGCACCCCACTGCCCAGACCCACGCCTCAGGAAAGCTGTTCCTTGGGTCACCCGACCACTTGTCATGGTCTGCACCTGTTCCCTTTGTCCTCTCTCTCCCCGCTCTCCACTCCTGCTAGCCTCCTTCGTTTCTTCTTCTTTGTTTTCCTCGCTCTTCCCAGTTCCACTCTTTTCCCCCCATTATCTTATGTCTCCTGGTTCAGTTCTTAAACATTGATTGTGGTAAAATATACGTAACAAAATTTACCATTTCAACCATTTTTATGCACACGGTTCAGGAGCATTAAGTACATTGATATGGTTGTACAGCCATTAACACCATCAGTCTCCAGAACATCATCTTCTCACACTAAAACCCTGAACCCATTAGATGGCTCCCTCCCCAGTCCCTGGCATCCCCACTCTACTTTCTGTCTCTATGAATTTGACTCCTCTGGGGAGCGCACACAAGTGGAATCCTACAGTATTTGTCCTTTGGGGCCTGGCCTATGTCACTTAGCATAGTGTCTTCAAGGTAGGATCGTCTTCCTTTTCAAGGCTGACTACTGTTTCGTTGTATGTATATGCTACCTTTTGCTTACCCATCCTACCGTTGGGCTGCCTTGAATAATGCTGCTACACACACAATGTGTGAACCTCTCTCTTCCAGATCCTGGTTTTAGTTCTGATGGTTATAAACCCAGAACTGGAGTTGCTAGATGATATGGTTGTTCTATGTGTACTGTTTTTAGCAACTGCCATAGCTTCTGTCTCCCACAGCAGCTATACCGTTTTACATTCCCACTAGCAATGTACAAGGGTTCTGATTTCACTTACATCCACACCAACACTTATTATTTTCTTTTTCTTTCTTTTTTTTCAATATTAGACATCTTAATGGGTGTGAAGTGGTATCTTGCGGTTTTGACTTGCTTTTCCCTAATGACCAGTGATGTTGAGCATCTTTTCATGTGCTTTTTGGCCATTTGCATAACTTGGAGGAATATCTTTTCCAGTTTTTTCCCCATTTTTAATTGTTCGTTTGCTTTTTTGTTGTTGAACTTTAGGAGTTCTTTATATATTTTGGATATTAATCCTTTATCATATGTAATATTTGCAAACATATTCTCCCATTCCATGGGTCACCTTTTCACTCTGTTGATAGTGTTAAAAGACTTCAATTTTGATGAAATCCAATTTATCTATTTTTTTCTTTTGTTACCTATGATTTTGGTGTCCTATCCAAGAAATCATTGCTAAATCCAATGTCATGAAGTTTTCCTATGTTTTCTTCTAAGAGTTTTACCATTTTAAGTCTTACATCTAACTTTTTGATCCGTTTTGAATTAATTTCTGTATGTGGTGTAAGATAAAGGTCCAACTTCATTCTCTTGCATGTGGATATGCAGTTTTCCCAACACCATTTGTTGAAAACACTGTTTTTTCTCCATTGAATGATCCCTGTTGAAATCATTTGACCAGATATGTGAGGACTTACTTCTGAGCTCTTTATTTTATTCCATTGGTTTATATTACTGCTTTTATGCCAATATATCAATATTTGGTTACTGTAGTTTGTAATAATTTTTGAAATCAGAGAATGTGAATCCTCCAACTTTGTACTTCTTTTCAAGATTGTTTTGACTATTCTCGAGAATGGTCTCTTGAGATTCCAAGTGAATTTTAGGGTGGATTTTTTAATTTCTGCAAAAAAGATCATAAGGATTGCATTGCATGTGTAGCCATTTTGGGGTGGTATTGACATCTTAATGATATTAAATCTTTCCATCCATGGACATAGGAGGTATTTCCATCTATTGGCATAAACTTTCATTTCTTTCAGTCATATTTTGTAATTTTCATTGTATAGGTCTTTTGCTTCTTTGGTTAAGTTTATTCCTAACTATTTTATTCTTTTTGATGCTATTATAAATAGAATTTTTTAAATCCCCCTTTTAGATAGTTCATTTTTAGTGTATAGAAATGCAACTGAGTTTTGCAATTTGATTTTTGTATCCTGCTACTTTGATGAATTCATTTATTAGTTTTGACAGCTTTATCTGGGGTTTTTTGTTGTTTGTTTTGTCTCTGTATGTGTGGTCTCTAAGGTTGGTACATATAAGATCCCTCATCTGCAAACAGAGATAATTTTATTTCTTCCTTTCCAATTTCTTGTTATTTCTTTTTCTTGCCTAATTGCTCTGGCTAGAACTTTTAATACTATGTTGAATAGAACTGGCAAAGCAGGCATCCTTGTCTTATTCCTGATCTTAGAGGAAATTATTTTTGGGTTATTTACCACTGAGTACGATGATAGCTGTGGGCTTTTCATTTATGGCCTGTGTTATGTTATAGTAGTAAAATACTGAGTAGAATTCACAAGAAAAGCCATCTAGTCATGGACTTTCATTTGGGGGATTTTTTTAAATGTTTATTTGTTTATTTTTTGAGAGAGAAGGAGAGAGAGAATCCCAAGCAAGCTCCTCACTGACAGCACAGAGCCCGGTGCGGGGCTCAATTCCACAAACCATGAGATCATGACCTGAGCCAAAATCAAGAGTCGGACACCTAACCAACTGAGCCACCTAGGCGCCCCAGGAGATGTTTTTATTACTGAATCAATTTGCTCACTAGTTCTAGAACTATTCAAATTTTCTATTTCTTTGTGATCCTTTCTTCAATATGTACTCTCCTTATTTGGTTCTTGTAACAGTTTTTGACTTAAAGTCTACTTTTTATGATGTTGGTATAGCCATGCCACTCTCTTTTGATTGTTATTTGTATGGATACCTTTTTTCACTTCCAACCTACGCATGCCCTTAGATCTAACGACTGTCTCATATGTGTCATATACTTGCATCCCAGGTTTGGGTTTTTCCCCCCATTTGCCAATCTATGTCTTTTGGTTGAAAGTTTAATCTATTTACATTTAAAGTAATGACTGTCAGGGGAGGAATTCATTTAACTACTTTGTTATTTATTTTGTTACAGGGTTTTTGGTCCCTCATTTCTTCCATTACTACTTTCATTTATGTAGTTGACTTTTTGTAGTGACACATTTTTATTTTCTTCTCGTTTCCTTTTGTGTATACTCTGGAGATATTTTCTTTGTACTTATATAGAGATTGCATATAACATCCTAAACTTATAATAATCATTTTAATAATCTATTTTAAATTGGTACCAACTTGACTCAGCTCAGACACAAAAACTGTGCTCCTGTACAGCCCTGCCATCTCCCATTTCATGTTACTGATGTCATAAATGGCATCTTGATATATTTTGTACACATTAACATGGATTTATAATTATTTTTTTGCATTTGGTCTTTAAATCCCATAAAAAATAGTGGAGTTACAAACCAAAATCACAATAATAGTGGTTTTTATATTTGTTCATGTGTTTAACCTGTACCAGAGGTCTTTATTTCATATGACTTTGAGTTACTGTCTAGCGTTGCTCTGTTTCTTACAGGGCAGGCCTAGTGGTCATGAACTCCTTCTGCTTTGGTTTATCTGGGGCTGTTTTAGTTTCTCCTTCATTTCCGAAGGACAGTTTTGGTAGCTATAGTATTCTCAGTTGATAAGTTTTGTGGATTTTTTTTTTTTTTTTTTTTAGCACTTTAAATATATCACCCCACCCCTTTCTGGACTACATGGTTTCTGCCGAGAAATCTACAGATAATCTCCTAAAGGCATCTTTGTACAGTGATGAGTCATTTTGATTTTGCTGCTTTCAAAATTCTCTCTTTGTCTTTGACTTTCAACAGGTTGAGTATAATATGTCTTTGTGTGGGTCTCTTTGGATGTATCTTTTTGGAATTCACTGAGCTTCCTGGGTTTGTAGACCCATATCTTTTCTTCAAATTTAGGAATTTTTTCAGCCATTGTTTCTTCATATACTCTCTCTACTCCCTTCTCTTTTTTCTCCCATAATGTGTATACTGGTCTGCATAAGGTCTGCATAATGGTGTCTCATAAGTCCTTAGACTCTGTTCACCTTTCTTTCTTTCTTTCTTTCTTTCTTTCTTTCTTTCTT